CGCATTATTAAAAATGATAAATATCTGAATCGTAAACTGCAATAACTTCACAGTTTCGTAAAAGTTTGCACAGTAAATTTTGTCGTGCAGTGTACAGTGTTCAACATTCATGCATACACTAACAAGTCTACATTTGACATTAGGAAAAAACTAAATTTATTATTAGTAAAAAAAGAAAAAGAGAAACAAACAAACAATATTACCGTTTACATATTACGAACGATATCACTTTTCATAGGAAACAATCATTTTTACGCTTATTTCACAATATTTAAAAAAAAAAACGACATAATATTACGGATAAATAACGAAGATAGTAACAAATTTAGTTTTCCTAAAATTAATCTTAACGTCGTATTCACTTTTCCATTTCTTTCTTAAACCTTACATAACGAAAGAAAAATGTACTTTACACATATGAGATTAATCCACGACTTCCAATCGTCGTTGATGAACGATCAACAATCTTTAGTACATTTCTCCAGAAACTGATGAAAGATAGTGGTAAAGTTAACAATTGTGACACAATCGCAAAAATAATAATAATAACAGACTTGGCAATGCACACATGTGACTACACCAATAAAATATTCGCAAGTTTTTTTTTTTTTAACCAAATAGAACGATACGCAGAGAAAAAGTGTGAAAATTCTTTGACTCATCTTAGCAAAAATTTAAGCTGCAATTCATTCACGTTACAAAGAAGAATGCAATATAGGAACTATCATGAAACGGATTGTACTGTTGTTGTTGTAATGTCCCTTTATTTCACGAACGATCTATAATTGATAAATCAAAAACAAGTGAAACGTGGCAAGCAATCATTCGAAAATCAAATACAAACGATATTTTTAACTTGATATCTTTCCTTTTTTTTTTGATCGAATTCTTTTTCGACCAGAATCAAACGAAATTGTAGAAAAAAAAAAAAAAAAAAAAAAAAAAAAGAAAAAATAAAAGAAAGAAATAAACAGGAAACCAGATTCGTGCAACTATTCCAACCTCTATGGAAAGTAAACGCGAAATATCTGGCGAATTTCTCATCACGACACACCGAAGACATTAATTCTCAATAAAAAGAAAAAATGCACAATACGAACACGCACCCGTTATCGAACTATAACATAGTAGTACCGTCCCCACATACGGCACTACCGACGTAAAAACATATTGTTACAATTAATAATGTACAAATAGTCTATCTGTAGTCTATCCAGTATACGAACGTATCTGCGGCTGCTAAACCTGTGTATAAGTTGGCGAGATTCAGTCTTCACATATAAAGGAGAATATGTACTCTTCTTCTTCTTTTTTTTTTTTTTTTAACATTACAATATGCACATTTATGTTTATAATAATAAAAATGTTTATGTACGCGATATCACAGCGTTCAGCATTAATCGTTAAAAAGGTACTCTCGTGTTCCCGAGACTATGTTAGTGTCATTAACGATTTTCTCAGCACGTAAAACTCGACGTCATTTTATTCGTCGATCTTTACAACACGAAAAACTGTGCCGATTTTATCGTTTCATTGACTCTTTTCCTTTTCTTTTTTTTTTTTTTTTTCTTCGAGTGAAACGAACAACAGATTATAAATATAAGGTTACAAGTTCGATCGATCAACTAACATGACCTGAACGAGTGTGCTTAATGCAAGCGCAAAGATTTCACGAGAATATATTTTTCGAACCTTTTCTTCAATTAAACAGACGGAAGGCGTGTCATAGAGATATCTTGAAAACTACCTCCCTCATCTCATTCGTTCAACGTTTACCATCACTGTTGAAAACTGATATAAAAAAATATATGTACGGTTTACTTAGAAATATTATCGACCAAATATATTCGAGTTCATCGATATTGCAAAGTTTAGTGTTGAACACTAGTTTCGTTTCCGCTTTTTCATTTTGTAACAACAAGAGAATAAGATTTCGTTTTTTTCTCTCCGGGAAATCTTTCGTTATCAACTAGAGATGACTGATCTCGTTAAGAGTTACATTAAAAGTGTACAGCTGAAATGGATGTTCCCTAACAACACGACAAAACGGAGTATAATACAAAAAAAGAACAAAAAAAAAAAAATGAATATCGACTAGTAGGGAGAAAGTAGACTTCAGAGATACGATTTTGCACCGTAGAAATGAAGTATACCGCATATTCTACTATACGAAAAATACGCATCCATGTTTTTAACAGTTCTCGTTAAACGTAGTACGATTACAAATGAACATAAGATTTATAATTGTTCATTAACGCAAATAAAAAAAAAAGAGAAGTAAAAAGAACAAAAAAGAACCCATAGCTGAAAAATACTGAAATTTCATAGATTCCTTTGTTAGCAACAAACACGTAAGTATTTAGAAGACTATATCTTAATAAAATAGACAAACATACAAAAAAAAGAGATAAATAGTTTGACAATATATGAGAAAGAGAGAAACGAAGAACCCTTGTGTCTACATCTTCATATACGCTTAGAAGATGAATTTATCAGACTACATAATGAAATAAAAAACTTGGATATTGATGAATAGAAGAACGCTCTGAAGTAATACACGTTTTCATATTCCAATTTCTTCTCCCTATTCTCTACCCTGACAATATACGAATTCGCACGGCAAACGCAAACAAAAAAAAAAAAAGGAATACTGATCTTTCGCTTTTTCGCAACAACTTTTGTTTTTCTTTCCTTAAAGTAGACAGCTCTCGCAGTACACGTCATTTAGGATCATATGATTTGTATACCACGTATAAAACTGATAAGATACGTTCCTTATTTTAATCATGATGCACGATAGGTAGATCTATAAATATGCTACATCTTACATATCACAGAACTACGCGTACACCCACTATCAATTTTCAAAATGCAAGTTGCACTTCGTTAGAACATTTATTTTATTTAGGAAAAAACTTAAAAGCATGATGTCTGTTATGTGTTCTGTTAAATGAAATGTAAAATATTAACCCTTTGCTGTCCAACGTTCAATATTTGCTCTGCGTTCTTCTTTTTAAACTTTTTAAACTTCCTTTAAACTTTTTCAACTATAACAAGTTTCTAAGAAAATTCTATGACCATACGTTTAGAGATTTGGTTTTAGAAAAGATATGCATATTCGACGGTCATTAATTTTCATTTCACTTTAGTATATGGGAACAAATGTAGCACAGCTTAAAGGGTTATAATTCTGAGGCTATCTGAAATATTTAGAAGAAACTTTAATTTATCTGTCAAATTTTTATGACAGCAATATATGTATCTATCTATAAGCCTCAATTATTGATAAATGCTTGAAAGATGCATTACTTGCAATGGATGGAATTGAAAGATGTAGAATTGCACTACAATAGTCTGCTATTTGCCAAAATATAGTAGACTACGTACTAAGAAAAATTCAGAAGAAGTAGATAATTAGTGTACTAAAGAAAAATTACTGATCAACAACGATGAAAAGACATAGATTAAACGAAGTTTCAAAAATCAATAAGATGATTTAATAGAGGGCGTACGCAATGTATGAGTATTCAGAAGTGTCCAATACTCGTAGCATACGCTTCCTATTATTTATATCACTATTCATTCTGACAACGCAACATGTTGCAGTCAGATCAACGCAGTAGGAGCGTATAAGCATTCACAATGTTGAAAAGGACAAAGACAACAATATACCGCGAATGCCTAACTTCTGTTCGCGACCCCACCATATATTTTGAAATATCCAATCTATCGGCTCAGCAAAAGAAGAATATAAAGACTACCATGTGGAAACCTAGAAACGAATCGATAGAGCTTTTTCCTCTCTTATCGAGCAAAATCCGCTTGAAATGCGTGTGACGCGGTTTCGTGAATCAACCGGAAATGTTATTGTGCACACGTACTGCTTCACAACATTTTCTACTGTGCGTAATTAAGTAACGAACTGTGAGACCGTTTCACGAAAGCGTTACGTATAATTATCACAATAATGTCGTTCGCAAACGAGTCCTTGCTCGAGTGTATATTCGAGTCTTGCATTCTTCTCTGTTGGCTCTTTTCTTTGCTGTTCGTTTATTCGAGTAGTGACGTGTACAGTGTAATCTGGAGGCCCGCAAAAAATCGCTATGCGCTGTCGATAAACGGTTTTCGTGCCCGATTCGCGGCATGAATTCATTATTCATTATTTTTCGTATCATTTATCACGTGAAATTTCCTTGGAAGCCACTTCGGAATGGCCATAACGATATATACAACACATGGATCAATACCATAAGTTAAAAACTCTTTCATCACGCGTTCAATACGTTCACGGCAGCGCAATATTTTTTTTCTTAAACGTTTCAATAGAAAAATGCCTTTCGGATAGTCTGAATCGTTCCCTAAAAAATAGCAAGAATTTCGATGAGCGCGAACTAAAAAACAGGTACAACTAAATTTTATTCGATTTGCGGCCAGCCTGCGCGTGCACCTATATACATTGTACACGGTCGCGCAAGGACAAGACCACTCAGTGGCCAATTGCATAAACATCAAACAACAATGTTTCTCTTACTTTTTTTATCTTCGTATAATCATTCGTTGGTTTAACAACAAATTACTTTCGATATATATTATAAAAATAAGGTATCAAACTTTGCGCCGAGGTACACAGCCATTGTGACTACATGCTTAATTTAAGTTTTCCTTTCTCTTCCCCATTAGCCGGTTTTATGCTTTGAATTTATTCCAAAGATACCGGCCCAGGATAGTTTCGAAGTACTCACTTTTGTACGCTATATAATTATGCTGGATTTATCCTCCATCAAAGTTCTTTAATTTTGATGAGATATACCTTTCCCCTATTATCAAAGAGACACAACACCCAGTCTCGTTACAAAACAGAGGACACGATATTTTTTTTTATATTCGTCGTGCGCTTTGTAAAAACGGGTGTACGGCTTAATTTTTATGCAAAAGGCCTTACATTTTGAAGAGCGTTGCCTGTACATACGTATATATATATATGCAAAATATAAATAAATTATCAAATATGAAAACGTTAACCCACCCCCCTTCTATACGTTTCGTGCATTTCGGGAAAGCATTAAATGACGTTTACATAGTTTTATCTCAAGAAGATTAATTACTTTTTAGGATATGACCACTTAGTTACAAGTCTACAATTGTTGGTCATATTCTACATCCAGTAATGATTATATCAATATATCATTGCTAAATAATTACTACTACTACTTCAAAAAACTTGACTGGAATGTGCCTACATTATTAATAAGTAATAATTAATTTTTTTATTTTTTTTTTCTCTCGAATGTTTGAAAACGTTCCAATTTAAATATTTATAACTATAATAAAACCAACAAATTATCGATTGTTTTGTCTCTGCTTTGTCTCTGCTTTCGAATAAACACAAATAATTTTGCTTCGTCGAATGCATTGAATCGGCATCATTCCAGAAAAAATAATAAATGACAATGAAAAGAGGAAACATTATGTTACTTATATATTCAAAAGAGACCCAATTGTCTACACAAACCGTAAATATATAATGGGCCTGATATAAAGAGGAAAAATTGATTTTCTTACTTAGCCTGCACTCTTACCGATTTATACCTTGAAAAGCGTCACTGCTGCACTGGTGTAGGCGGATAAGGATAACTATACGGTGGCACAGCTTGGAACTGACTATATCCCATCGATTGATACGCGCAAGCACCAGTATTTGGTGGTGGACGATTCGTCTGGAAAAACTTGTTGTTAACGAGGCTTTGCATGGAGGAATCAGCTGTGTGTCCGCCAGCAGATGGCATCATGAATGGAGGCGGCATAGAATATACGCTTTGTCCTCCAGGTGTCTGATTGGTGTTGTAAGCACTCTGACGATTGTGATAACGATTTCCTTGGAAACCTCCTGTTCTTCCATGATATCTAGGAATATTTGCATTTTGATAACTAGCTGAATAGCTATTGGTAGTTTGACAGCCATTGGTATAAGTATTCGGTTGCCGTTGATGTTGTTGTTGTTGTTGCTGCTGCTGCTGCTGCTGTTGTTGATGTTGTTGGTGTTGATGCTGTTGCTGTTGCGGTTGTTGATGTTGTTGCGGCTGATAATTGGATTGGAAACTATTCTGTCGACTGGCCTGATATCCATTTTGCTGGCGTACAACAGTCCTTTCTTGACTGCTACCATTACTGTGTTGAGTACTCTGAACGTGCTGATTTTGCCAATTATTCGAAATCGGGCTACTATTATTTCTTGGGCTCCCAGTGGAACTATTATCTTTATTAGAACGAGAATGACTCCAACGTTGGCGACCCTTTCCGTATGCAGGTTTTATCGAATTTGCTAAATCGGCCAGTTGTGGATTTATTGCTTGACCAGCTTCTTCCAAAACAGAAATTAGTTCTTTTGCTTGTCTAGCATTATTAGGCGTAAAATAAGCATAAGCAGTACCCGCGCTTTGGCAACGTCCAGTTCTTCCTATTCTATGAATATAATCCTCAGAACTGTTCGGATAATCGAAGTTAATTACATACTTCACATCTTCTACGTCCAGGCCACGAGCAGCAACATCGGTAGCAACAAGAATCATTGTTTTTCCATTTCTAAACTCAGATAACACGTAATCTCTCTCAGGCTGGGATTTGTCACCGTGAATAGAGATAGCAGGCCAACCTTCTCGTTTAATAGCTTTGGTAATATCGTCCACTTTCTTTTTCGTTTCAACGAAAATTATCATCTTGCTTCCTCGATCTTTGCCGATCTCTCTCAAAAGATTTGAAAGTTTCATTTCTTTTTCATGCTCTTGACAAATTTCTACGATTTGACGAATATTGTGATTAGCGGCCAATGTCAAAGAACCGATGTTAATTTGAATATAATCTGAGAGGAAATCTTCAGCCAAAGCTTGTACTTCTTTCGGCCATGTTGCAGACCACATCAATACCTGCCTATCAGGTCTAATTTGCTCTATGATTTTTCGGATTTGAGGCTCGAATCCCATATCTAACATTCTGTCCGCCTCATCTAAGACTAGGTATGTACATCTGCGTAAATTTGTAGTTCCTTTCTCGAGAAAATCGATTAATCTACCAGGAGTTGCAATACATATTTCAACACCGCGTTCTAAATCACGAGCTTGAGGCCCTTTTGGGGAACCACCAAAGATGCAAGTATTACGAATACAGGAGGAAGAACCAAAATCTCTAGCAACAGATTGAATTTGTTGGGCTAATTCTCTTGTTGGAGCGAGTATCAAAACGATGGGACCATCTCCTCGGCTCAAACGTGGTTGATGATTAATGTGTACAGTTGCTGGTAATATATACTGAAAAATATCAATAACAAAATTCTTAAATTTAATCATCTAAAAATATTTATTTGATAAATTATCAATAATTTAGACAATATATATTTTCAAAAAATATATATGTAAAAAAAATATTGAAATCTGATTTCTTTTATATTTAATCAATATAATGATCAATTATATCATTAACATATTTCATTGACATGATTTAATAATAAAGAATTAAAATTAATCAAATCTTTAATATTAAAATCTTAATTTCTTCTGAATTATTATAAATATTTTAAATTTTATTTTTTTTTATATTTAATAAACGATGCAATCAAAAATTAAAAAAATAAAAAGTATATTACTATTTATGAAATATATATGAAAAAATATATAAAAATACATACAGCTAAAGTTTTTCCAGATCCTGTTTGAGCAATTCCAACCAAATCACGACCACTGAGTGCTATTGGCCAACCCTGTGCTTGGATTGCTGTTGGTTCAGCAAAACCCTGCTTTCTTATCTCTTCCATTACATAATCTGGGAAGTTACTTTCTTCAAATGCTTGAATTGGAGAAGGAGTATTGTTTCCTTTCACAGTGATTTCTTTGCCAATGTGATATTTATTAACTTCATCACTGGATCGTTTTAAAATATTGATATGTGGAATATATAAATTTTTTGTGATCACTGGTAACTTAGAGAGATCCCAGCTAGGTTTTTTCAGTGAATCTCCAGGAGTTCTTCTTTGGACTTGCTTCTTAATTGACTTCTCTTTGTTTGTCTGTTGTTGTCTATTCCAATATGTTCCCCCTCCATTACGATTGGTAGAATCTCTACTTCCCCTGGGTCTGTAACTAATTCTCATAAAATGATACTCATTCTTTAATGTTTAAAATTTAATATTAAATTTAAATCATTAATATAGAATATTAAATGATATTAAATTATTATATTATTATAATGATAATATAATTATTATATATTATTTATATTTGAAGTATATTGTATATTAATAAAAAATGATTTTTAATATATCATATTATATAATATCACATGAAAAAAGATAATTTAAGAAATCATTAATAATAATGATTATTATAAAAATATTAAATAACAAAGATTTAAAAAAAATTTTTTTATATGTACTTTCATCTTATGGTTGTCAGTAGCTTTCCATTAGATAATGACACCGCCATTTTACTTTTTTTTATGACTCATTTGATCTTATTCAATAGTATACATTTTTGTTAGAAGTAAATTTTTTTTATCATTTTAGAACAGTAATCTTCTATAAATTGTGATTTCATTAATTCAACATAAAATAATAATTCAATAAAAATGACGAATAAGAGAATTCATGAACAAAATGGTGGAGATCACGATATTAAAAAAAAAAAACTTCTCCAGTTTTAACATTTCATAACGTATGGTACTGACATATGTAATATTTAAAAGTTATAATTTAAATTAAAATATTCTACCTGGTATGATTGGAATAACTATTGTTATACATCTCGGCAAAAGTTCGGAAGAATCTGCTGACACACTACCAGTTCCGTAGGAACGATCTTCGATTTTTCGGAAAGTATGTCAGTTGTACCAGTTACACCTATGATCAAAAATAATTATATAAGAAATTTAATAAAATGAATATATAAATGAATATATTAATTCTATAATAATCTTATATCAAATGACAAAAAATTTGTATAAAAAAAGATAATATATTCGGATAGACTTACCCTGCAAGACCCGGCGAGCAGAGCAGTAATGGCTGACAGGCACTGGGAAGACGGAAACGAGCAACTGGGCAATGCTTCCGCTCCTAACTAGTAGGTTACACACACACATAAAAAGGAAGATCGTTCATTGGTTCGTTCTTATGTAGAATCGGATGCTGACACGTCGTCCAATCGTAACACGATAGGATAAATCAATAAGTTCAAGTGTTATATATTTATCATAGATAAAGGCAAATTTTCATGAAAAGAAAAAAGAACAAATTAAAATAGAAAGGTATGGAAACGATTATATTTTTATTATATTTAAATTATATAAAATTTTTTTTTTCAGGACATTGTGAGTTAAAAAAACTATAATCAACAAACAATATGTATAAATATATAGTAATATATTATATTAATATATATTATATTTATATAATGTAATATATATAAAATGATTATTGATATTATTTAAAATATATTTAAAATAAATTATAATTTTTAGAAATTATATTTAAAATAATATT